TGTATACAGTTCATTTCTAATGTCAAAACTAACCTTGAAACCCGAGTGCAAACTCAAACCTGCAGAGAAGTGAATGTTGTGCTGGCGGGGGTGTGTGTGTGTCTCAAGTAAGCAACAAGAAGTATTGGCAAGATGCTGACTGCAAGGATGGAGGTAAATCGTAATAAAAATGGAAGGGAGTATTTCTAAATCCACAACCTGATACTTGGCTCAGCATCTCTCAAAGGGCTACACCATGTGGAGAAATGAGTCTACTACAGCTAAGAAATGTGACCCTCCCAACTAAACCTGTGAAGAATGGCGCTTTCATATTTGTAAGCTTTGGTTTCAGCTGGGAGTCACCTATAGACAGTTGCACTCTTAATTTGCACTTTTGCACTCTTTTGATTCCAAAATGGATAGAATTTAGCTGATCTTGACTTGTATTAGTAGGGTAATTATTCTCTTTACAAGGAGCTGCAGCAGAAGGGTTAGGGGTTTGTTTGTTTGTTTGTTTGTTTGTTTTTACCAGAAGGACATGGTGGGTTTGTTGTTAAAGAACAAGTACTTAATAGTTCAAAGAAATGAAGTGCTGAAGGGTTTTATGAACAACTAAAAGCTAAGAATTTTTCAGATCCTTAGCTGCTGTAAATATATTACCAATGATGGACCTATTATGCCATTTCTTGAAGACCAGCTTTCTGATGAAAGCTTTCATCAGAAACACAAAAAAAGGTATATCTGCGACATGGAAAAGGGGGTGTTATATGTGCATGATTGGCACAATCACTACAAGCTGACTTTTCTCCAATTTGCATGTGTTTATTGACTCGGCTGAATGGAAAGGACCGTTATCCATGGCTATGTTATTGAAAAGAAATAGTCTGTTGCATGGGGGCTTTGGTTGATTTTTTTTCTCCCTCACAAAGAAGGACCTTCACTGGATTGCAGACAGTTTTTTGAGATGTGCTTTTCAAAAATCTGACTAGTAGATGATGATGACAGTGACTGGAACAGTTGATCTTAAATTATGTTTTGATTTTTCACATTCTTGCTAATCACAACATAATGAAGTTACATATGAGTTGCTGGTTATACTGCATAATATATATAAATATGTAGTGTAAAATTGAATATAGGTCTTTTACCTCCTCTAGCAGCTAGCTCACTTTGGTGGTGAAAGAATACTACTAGGATCAGTAGTGCTCCATCACTAGTATGGAAAGAAAATACAGAAGCAGAGTGGTTGGCATTTACCAAGAGAGCAGATGCACAAAATCTTTTCAGTAAAGTATGATGTTAGTGTGTAACTGAAAATGAGGCAGAGGAGCCTTCGTGACAGCTTTGTGGCAAGGAGGGGAATTTTCCAATAGACCTTTTAGTGTTACTCATTGGAAATTATCACCAAAAAAAAAAAAAAAAAAAAAAAAAATCAGTATAAAGATACAGCTTACTTTTAGAGAAATACATTGCCTCTTTTGGATGCTCTTGACTGAAACAAAATGTCCATTCAGCCCCGTATCACTAGAAAAAGCACCATGATAGTTATGGTTGCAGAATGCGTCTTTGGGAGAAAGATGTCACAGGAATCAGGAGTTTAAGCAATTGAGTTGACAAAATTGACTTTCAAAACTTCTCCTGAGAGGAGTCTGGGTGCAGCTGGATCCAATCCTAGTCAAGGGTTTGTGTCTACAAGATTACCCAATTAGCCTCTACTTGGGTGATGTTTACAGGGAAGCCAGCCTTGGTGGGAGAGAAGTACATCATCATGCATAGTCACTGAGATGCTTTAAAATGTGAAATAATCTACCTATTTTGATCTTCTAAGAGAAAGCTGATTCAAATGCCACTAATTGCTGGGTGACCTTGGGTGAGGTGCCTTACTACCTTTTCGCTTTGTTTCCCACATTTAACCAAGGTGTAGCCCTTAGGGAAGGCAGGAAATCTTTCGAGCCTTGGGAGATGCTCCAGGAAGTGATGGCAGAGTGCAAAGATGACCTGGCTGGAAAAGCAGAGATAATATAGCATCTTACTTTCTGGAACATGATTTCAGCAACTGTACTTTGCACAAAACTATCATGCAAAATGCTGACAGTCCACTTCCTTGAAGGGCTTGAGTAGGGCACATGCCTTGGAGTCAGGATGTGCTGGCAAGTCTGCGCTTGGGAGCTTATCTCCTCAGGGAAAGGTATTTATATATTAGGTACATGGTAAAAACACTCTTTGCTACTTAAGGCCATTTATAATTTTCCTGTTCCAATGTTCAAGCTAAATGCTGAATATACTCTTACAAGCTCTGTAGTGCTCTCAATCTACCTGCCCCTTCAGGGACTGCTATTCTAGGCTCTGGGGTGAGGTCAACACTCCTACTTCACATGGATTGCTGATGTGGTATAGTTGTGTTCCTTCACCTGAGACTCAGAGGATAATCCCTAATTCCTGTTGGCAATAATGCTTTTGCTGCCTCTACTGTAGTTACAAGCAAGGTCGAGTCTGACAGAGGTCGTTCTTCTCTTCATTTTTAAATGTGGATGAGAGAACTTCTGTGCTTCGAGTGCTTTCTTTCTCCCTGCCTGCAAAAGCCAGAGTGAGGACTACAATATTTTAAGCTGTATTGAGCAAGCAGAAAACAGTCTTTTTCATTTCTTTTCCAGAAAAGAAGATATCTATAGCGAGTCACTGAGCTAAGAATGACAGAACTTGGATACAATGAGTGTATGAGAAGTGTCAGGGCAACTGTGGGGAGAAAAAAAGCAACTTTCAGCTTCTTCTGTCCACTAGTTTTGTTGGTGGTGCTAAAATGAAAAAAATATTGGTAAATTAAGGGGAAGTATATTCTTTATCTCTGTATCTTTCATTTATCCATTATCCATATCCAGAATTGTTAAGACTCTGAAATGCTTGGTGGAAGCTCCTAAATAAACTTTTCTCTATCTGCTAATAATAGCATGTGGCTAATAATAGCCATGGTATTTCAGTAGTGTCCCATATTATCCCATATTTTCATGGTGTCCCATATTAATTACAATAGCATCGAAGATGGAGAAAGCATCAAAAAGGGAGACCATATAAGAATCATATTGTTCTCAGCTGTAAGCTATGCTTGATTTTTGGAATCTATAGACCAACTCTTTATACACTCATTTGAAAGAGAGAAGGACAAGGCTGAATACTGAATATTTTAGACAATTTGCCTAGAATGTTATGTCACTAACCAAGTATCCCTACAAATTCCATACCCCTGGCTTCCCAGAGCTGCTCTGTTCATCACACGTAAGACGAGCTCTGCTTTGCTTGTGCAGAGCAAGGTGGTTGAAGCCTCACGCTCCTTGCAGTCAGTAGGCAGGATCGTCGGGAAGGCAAGACCCGCTCCGGTGCAGGGCTTACATAAGTGGTGAGTCATGCAGGCTTACGAAAGAATAGGGAGCGAGGCTTTCATTATGTTGTTTGCCTAATCAGAAATATGAAAATAAAAGAACACAGCACTCAGTGGGTTATGTTTGGCTAGCAGTAGGCTGGAAAATCTGCAGTTGTACTACTATGATTGAGGCACTTCATTGTTTGTGGTCCCAGCTTATATTAAACGGGAGGACATTTTCATAAATCCTTCCCTCTAGGGCAGACTTAAGGTTGTTCGGGAACCCTAGCTACGCATTTCCAGACATTAATGTCTGGAAGCAGCACCATGGGAGAAGGAATGGAAGTATACGTGTAGGGAAGATACTGGTTGTAAATGAAGAAGCCCAAGGGCAGGGTGGTGTTTGTGAGGATGAGCATGTAAAGAAACAGTTGAGTGGAAACTAAGCTTTTGGGATAACTGAAAAACAGTCTGGTGATGGTTTCCCCGTGTATTACCAGTCTCCTTCAATAGCCTGGTGCAGGTAGTAGCAATGGCTTTACTTAAACGAGCTCTGCTGTTAGATGAGATCCATTACAGCCCTTACAAGGCAACGGAGAGCTTTGAGAATCAACATTGGCTTTAGACTTGCTGCAGTATGTGCTGCAATAGAACTCTCTAAAATGATTTCATTAACCCAGAGGTGCTTCTTGTTTTCTTCCATCAGCCCTTGCACTTCACATGGCAAACTGGCTTGCTGGGGGAGAAAAATGCAATAATAACTATTTCAAAATTATTTCAGCCACGTGGCTACAGCAACAGCCGGAGGCTCGAAGGATGGAAGCAGGAGGGTGTCTGGAGCTGAAAAACCCATGGCTGAGTGAGTGCCCCAGGAACCTGAGCCTTAAAGCAGCAAAAGGTGAGCAAGTTTCCCTGTCAGAACTCTTGGAATGAATGATTTCTCCCTCTCCCTCAAATGGCCAGTTGTAAGAGTGGATTGATACCCTTAATTGGCACAGATGTGCCACTTCTTCCCCACCTAGCTCCTTGCCGCATACTTCTCACATGGTGCAAGTGCCTCTTAGTATCACAGAGGGTGCCTTAAGGAAAGGAGCCAGGAGACATTTCTACCTGATAGACAATTTACTCTCCTTTTTCTTTCTCTGGAAATCCTAGGGATTCTGGGTTATGTGGCACAATCAGGTATCTAAAATTGTTCTTTAAGAGAAGCTGCCTTAAAATGATTGCTGCTCTGATTGCTGCAGTTCTCATCAATCATGGGGAAAAAACTGCTACTGGAAGCTTGTTTCAGAGTGAAGTTTTAGAAAAGACTTTCTAAATGCGTGTGTTTACACATTCTCTCCTCCCTCCCCCTCCGCTCCCCGCCGTGTCTAATTGCTTTGAAACGTGGCTGCTCTTGCCCATTGTACTGGAGGCCGGGCCGCGGTTCCTACCCCCTCGCCCGGGCCAGCGCCGGGTCCGGCTTAGGGCCTTGGAGCGGGGGCGCGGGCTCCGGCTCCCGCAGCCCGCCTCGGGACGGGGCTTTGAGAGCGGCTCGTCCCGCGGGGCTGCCCCTCGAGCCGGGGCTCGGAGGCTCCTCGGGGCAGCGCCGGGAGGCAGCTCCGCGCGCGGCCCCTCGGGGCGCGGCCGGGGCCCGGGGCAGCCCCGCAGCCTCCCCGCGCCCATGGCGCCCCGCAGGCCGCGCCTGCCGCTAGTCCTGGCCCTGGCCCTGGCGCTGCCCTGGCTGCCGAGCCGGCCCCCGGCGGCGGCCGCGCTGCCGCTGGCGCCCGGGCCGCGGCGGGAGGTGCTGGCGGCCGCCCTGCAGCGGCTGCGCGAGGTCTTCGACATCGAGGAGCTGCCGCCCGACGTGCTGCCGCGCAAGAAGCCGCCGCAGTTCATGGTGGACCTCTTCAACAAGGTGGCCGACGCCAACGGCATCACGCGCGCGCCCGGGCTGCTGCAGGGCAACGTGGTGCGCAGCTTCGAGGACCGAGGTGGGACGGGGACGGGGACGGGGCGGCCCGCGGGAGCCTCTCCGCGCTTCCCCCGCGGGAAGAGCCTCCGTGCTCTGAGGGCTCTGCTGGGGAACCCGGGCTTATTTTCCACCTCCTGCCCGCGGTCACCAGTTGTAACCCACTTTTGAGCAGATCTAACCGCTACGGTGCAAAGTGCAGTGGGGTTTTAGCCCGCGCCTAACGCGCCTTCCCTCCGCAGTGCTCGTAGACCAGCATCACTTCTACTTCGACATCAGCGCCATGGAGAGGGGCGAGCAGATGCTCAAAGCCGAGTTCAGAGTCTTCAAGCTCAAGAAGAAAGCCCTGGCTAGGAGGTCGGATTCGTCGCACTTTTGCAAGGTGAGGGGGGAAATAATCTCTCGATTAAGTAAATTAGGCTTTTGTTGATAATAATGCTGAAAGAAAATGAGAAAGAGAAAAGGGATTAGTGTGAACACCTAGCGGATAAACCTACTTTACTTTTGTGTGCTTGTTTATGGCCCCCAAAGCAAAAGGCAGGGCCTTTCTCCGTCTCCAGCATGCAGAGGACTGCACGTCGGTGTGGACTTAGGCAGCGGGTTCCGCTTCTCGCTATCTGTTGCTGAGCTCTCCCTGCAGATACTACAATCTATGGTTTTATCTTGGCGTAACTGTCAGGGTGTTTTTGCCTAGAAAGTAGTTCATACTTTTGCTTTTCTGACTACTGAGATATTTTGAAACCCAGATTCAAAGTTTTCTGCTTGCACCACCCAAAAAAAAAAAAAAAAAAAAAAAAAAAAAAAAAAAAAAAAGAGTTTGTATATATACATGTGTGTGTGTGCATTTATAAAAACTCAAAAAAGTGATGTGTGTGTGTATATAAATATATATATGAGTATTATTTTTGTGTGTGTTTGTAATCACACAAATAGCAGGGGTAATCGTAGGAAAATAGCCTGGACTGTAAAGTTTAGCTCACCTGTTCCAGTGACAAAAGCTGCAGTCAGTCTTTTTGCAAACTTGAGGGCAGAGGCACAGAGTGGTGCCATACGTGCAAAAAAAGAAAAGGTTGGTCAAGATATTTTTCTATGTGTGCACGCTTCTTTTTGAGTTAATTTTTTTAATGTTTAGGGACTATGTGCAACTATAAATGCTCTGCTGCACATTTAATTTTTTCATTACGATCTGAAAATAAATACTCTTATTTGTTAGGCTGTAATTCCACTAACAATAGAAGACATCAATTAAACCCATATTTCTTCCTTCCCCACCCCTCAGTGTCTTGTTCCCACCCTGCAGTGTTCATTGCTTGTAACGCAAGCGTTTCAATAGCCACCGAAGTTCCCTAATCCACATGAAAACTGACTGGCAAGAAGGGAAAAGGTTTCTGCTTGGATCTGTTTCCTGGTGCAGTTCATCACTCTGTGACACTAATGCTTGTGTCATCCCCTGCGATGGGTCGAGGGGGTTCTTTGTGCCTGTGGTCCTTGTTTAGCTTTTACTTTAGTTGCTACAAGCAACTTTTTGCCTAATTTGGGCCTCCGGAATAGTTTTTCACCCGTGATGTGGTAGAAGTTACTATAATCCCGATTCTATTTTTTTTTTAACACTGTAAAGGAAAAAAAAAATTTCATCTCCAGTTTGGTGGTTTTCCTCTTTTGTAGGTGGAAGTGTATGAGCTCCTGGAGAGTGGAAGTAAGCCGCAGAAAAAGCACCTCATTGCCTCAAGATTATTGTCATTGTACACGGAGGGCTGGGAAGTGTTCAATGTCACACAGACAGTAAGCAGAGAAATTTGAATTTCATTTTTAGTTCAAACTCCATTTATGATAATGGACAGGTCACAACTTCGGTGCTGCCTTTATGCTGGGTCAAGTCGAGCCCTGGGGTGGCAGCAAACAGACAGATTTAGCCTCCTCACTCAGAGGTACAGGCAGTGCTACATAAATTAGAGATGTTTACTTGCCGGCAGCACAGACAGGAAGACCCAGAACCAGAAAGAAAGTCAGAAAGGGACGTGAGGCTAAAATGTCGTTATGATTAAAACATGTTAGTGTTTATGCTGCCAAAGCAGGTGGTGTTGCAGGTGGGGCAATAGTAGGTTTTAGTTTTTCTTGTCCTCGTGGCATTGCTACAGAGCAAAAGTGTGGTTGTTTTGGGGCTTTAACACTGTTTTTCCGGAATTTATAATGTTTGACTTATTTTTCTTCTCATTTAAGCTATAAAATTCCTAATGTTAGTTTAAAAGATTTTTTGTAGATATCCTTAAACTGTCAGTGTCTGAATTATTTTTAATAGCAAACAAAAACGATTTTAGAAAAAAAAATCTCAGCTTTAAATATATAATCTCTGATAGTGTTTTTTATTTTTTTTAAGCTTTAAGGTCAGATTCAACATAGTGGTTGGCTGTTTGGCAGGGTTATATCTTAGGCCATTGTTAGCCTTGTTTGAGAATGGTTTGGCCTCATCTATTAGCCTACAATTATAACAATTAGGTAAAGTAAATTTGCTTGATAGCAAGTTAATTTCTTCAAGTCACGTGTATATGTGAGACATTTAAATGTGTTTATAGTACTAAGTAAAAATCTGGAGAAAATGTAGAAACTTTGATTACTAATAAAAATAAAATTCTGGCAAAAGCTGGGAAATATTAAATTATAATGTCAATGTTAACTCACAGATTGATCTGTGCTAGAAATTATCAGGAAAAATCCTGAGAATATAATTTGGAAAAATATATACTGTCTTTTTTACTTTTAAATGTTGAATTATTGGCTTAAGTGTTAAATTCAATCCATTCAACTATACTCCCACCTCACATCTGTGATAATATATGTATGTTCTTATACTCTCACAGTCTGTTCCCTTTTCTGAATATGGAAATTCCTTAATGCTGTGGTGGGGTTATTGAAGTAATATTTTCTCATCTCATTTTCATTACCAGGTTTCCAAATGGGTTGGAAACAGCAGCTATAACCATGGCTTTTTGATAACTACAACACACGTTTTCAACAACAGAATTGAGCACAACCTGGTGAAGTTTGCTAAGAGCCAGGGAGCTCTGCAGGAGAGCAGAAATGCCTTCCTTGTCCTCTTCACAAACAGTCACAAACGGAGGTCTTCCAGCTTTGTACCCTCTTCTGCAAGTAGGTTCATAGAAAAACAGCTCTCTTTTTAGCACATGAAATTCTTATTCGTTTTCTAATGCCTTCTGCTGCCTGATAATATTCCTCAGTATTTACTTGCAATGTTGAATGCCTGTCCAGCTTTATCACTGACCACTTTGCTTTGATAAAATTGTGGGTAGGTTACTCAACTCCTATAAGGCACCTCTACCTTCCTCAAAAAAAAAAAAAAAAAAAAAAAAAGAATGTTTGCAGGAAATATTTTATTCCAGATTGATTTATTTTGCTTGAAATATGATAGGAATTTCTATACATATACTTATTGTCCAAAATGTATAATTCAGTTTAGGCTAGAAACCTCGGTGACCTGGAAAAGTTTTCTAAAATGCCGGTAATGCGACTAAACATGGCATCATTAAGTGCAATTTTGAAGAGTAGAAGGGGTTGTTAGATAAGCAATTTAAGCCTCTCTGTCCTTGCCTTGGTGTTTAAGCACCTATTTAACTTCAGTGACTAATTAGCATTGTGACTAAGGCTGCTTTCATCAGACAACGCCCTCATCCCTTAAATTACAAACAGTCTCTTCTCTTACCACTCCCACTGGTCTTCCAATAAAACCAAGTAAGGCTGGGTTTTACAGCCTGATACACGGCAGAGAAAACCTGAGAGGAGGGGCAAAAATGATTTTATTTGAAAATAAAATTGAACAGGTCACTGTCATTTTTTTAATCAGTTTCCAAAAGTGTCCGGACATTAAAGACAGACATTACAAGGGAATCCTAGATTCAGGTTTAGTCAGTAACAAGCATTGCATGGGGTAGTAGGCTGTGATTTTTTGCTTTATATTTCTGATGAGCTGTGGCTTTTCAGGCCACAAACAGGAAATTCCCCTTTGGGAAAGATGGACAGTTTGTGAAATACAGTTGAAATGGATATACCTGCCTTTCAGCACTTCCACAGTTTGTCATTTTGGACTCTATTCCAAAGAATTTGATGAAATTTCATGAGATAGACCTTCTTGTAGAACATTAACCTTACTGTGCTTAGAAAAGAGGTAGTTTTGTTTTGAGAAAGTTTTAACAAACAACTTCCTTTCAGAACCAGAGCCGAACCCTGTGAGAACTAACGCGTTGTTGCGGGTGCCTCGCCAAACTCGCGTCGACGGCCACAACGACCACGCAGGCAGGAGACCTCGGGCGGCCGAAGTGCCTTCCACCACCGGCCAGGGAGCAGCGTGTCACCGAAGGGAGCTCTACGTGGACTTCCGCGCTATCGGCTGGTCAGGGTGGATCATTTACCCGAGTGGCTACAACGCCTTTTATTGCAGAGGGACCTGTCTGTTTCCCTTGGGGGAAAATCAAAACGCAACCAACCATGCAACTGTCCAGTCCATAGTCCATACACTCAAGTTGTCTCAAGATGTTAGCACACCATGCTGTGTGCCAGATGAATTGAAGTCCCTCAATCTTCTCTACTTTGATGACAAAGAGAATGTGGTCCTTAAAAATTATAAAGACATGGTGGCAACAAGGTGTGGATGTCATTAACAGGGCACCCCCCATGCTTTTTTTCCCCTGCATTTTACATGTACCTGCATTTGCTGCTGAAGACATCAAGAGAAATGGCATTTCAGATTATGGGGCAAGAGAGCCAGCAGCTCAGCTGTGTTTCCGATCCACCAACCTACCCTGTGGCCATGTGGAAAGAAGTGTAAGGCTGCCTTTCAAAGAGCTATGGGCTTCCCGTGGGTGTGCCGACCTGCATGGAAAGCAGTTTGACTGCCTAAGATCCAGAGGAAGACATGAGAAACTAGGGCTGTTGTGTAAAAGAATCCAAATACGTGAAGTGAACTTTCAACCAAAGGTGCTGTTTAGTATATGGAGACAGCTCAACAGTCATCTCCTCCTGCTTCAAGGCCAGATGGGGGTGCAGCTCCCTTAGTAACAGAACCTCAGTACTCAGCTTTGGCTGTGTGATCCAAAAGGCTTCTTCCTTCCTACCTTGAACTTTTGCAGGGACAAGTTGTTCAGAGCTCTCACCAGAGGCCTCCATCTGCAATTTATGCATTTGCCAGAACAGCACTTCACGCCACTTTTCTATCTGCCAAACGCAGAGGGACATGGAGTCCATCTGGGACTTGCTGCCCACTAAGAAATCCAAGGGAACATAGAGGTAGTAGCTATGTGGGAATTAGGAAATGTGGCTTCTGTCTGGAGGGTTGCTCTTCTGCATAATGAAGGGCCAGCAAGTGTCCCTCTTTGTGTTCATTTTCTTCCACTGTGCTCTGCTGTAACTGTTTAACTGTGTGTTGGGACAACAGAGCCTGTGTTTCAGTGTGTGTTTGTACACACTGAATATCCTCAGCTTGACTAGGAACCCGTATCGCACAGGAGGAAGGAAGCAAAAGAGCCAACCTGAGAAGCCTGTGAGGACGTGTTGGATGGTGCCCTGCTCCTGTGTCCAAGGAAAGTTTCATGGGAGATGAAACTTTCATGGGAATGAAAGGGAAGTCCCTTTCATTCTTCCTTGACACATAGGACACAGGCATAGAAGAGGACCCCTGCCTTCTTGATGTCTGGTTACATTTTCATGCAGGCAATCAGACCACAGCAGCTCCCCGATCAGCTCACTGAACTGTATCTTAGGCCCAGTTAGGTTCCTTGCCTCCGTTGCTCACTGAAAGAGGCTGACACCTGACACTGGGCACCTCCCATGGACAGAAAGTTTATGGAGAATTTTTCACTCCAGTGAGATTAAAAAAAAAAGGGGGGGGGGGGGGAAGTTACCAGAAAAATATTCATGTAAATGTTTTTCTGTAAATACTGATTTATATAATTTTATTTAAAAAAAAAACAAGTATTTTGAGTATATTAACTTAATCTGTAATATAAAATATAAATTTTCAAATAAAAGTGTACAATGTAATATTGGTCTTATTATTTGAACCTTCTTCCTAAAGCTATGATCAAATTCTTTCTGGAAGAGAGGTCATTCCCTGTGACTTCAACGGATGTACTTACTTGGACATGCAGCCTGGAGCAGTGTGAGGTGGAGGAGCCACCCCTCAGAAGTGTGCAGGATTCTGTGCAAACGTGCATGTGTGAATGTCATGGCTTCCCAGTCAAATGGGTAAAATACTCCCTGGCCTAAGTAGAATTTCTGTGTAGAAGAAGGAAAAAAACCTATCTTTGTATATGGTTTGCTTAGTAAGGTGAAGTGCTTAGTAGTTGGGTGGTGCTAACTGCTAATGCAATGGGGCTATTAGCCTCTCCTGTCTGTTTGATTCAGTCAAAGGGACTTGGGAAGAGTAAAGGTCATAATTTTACCTTACTAAGTTGTTTTTTCCTGGATGTCGTTTTGCTGTATTTCCCTTTTACTGCAAAGATGGCTGTGGGATTTTCAATCTGCAGGAACCATAGCTTGTGACCGGGAAAAGGTGTCCAGAGTGAGAGCCCAGGCAAGGTCACTGTGGGTCGGTGACTTCAGCTCATATTATCAATGCTTGTGTTAGTAGAGATCTTAACAAACTGAAGCCTCAAGTTTGCACTGTGAGGTACTGCTGGGAGAGGGGCTGCGTTTGGAACGGTTTCTGCATCCAGCACACCCTGGTCTTGTATCTGTAACATGGTAAACCTTCCTTCAAGCACCATCAGCAGCATATTTGCTGCATCTCTTGCTGCTCAACTCAGAAAATTGCCCACTTTTTCCAGACTATCTTAATGGGTTTCCTCTTGTTTCAGATGCCAGGAAAAAAAGACAGATTTTTCCATTGAAAAGCAGGTATAATTAATAAATAAATGATGGGCACACTGAATATTAGCTAACGAAGTGCTGCACCACAATAGGTGAAATATGCACAGTCAAGCTAGAAGCACTCAGTAGTTTTGCACGCATTAAATTATTATTTTTTTCTGCACCACTCAACATAGTCTCATTATGCTCCATTAAACTCTGATAATTAAAACAAAATATATTGGAATTGTTTATCCTGGACTTTGTAAGGAAATGAGGTTCATAATAATGCCAAGGGAAAAAATTTACACTACAGCAGGACTTGTAATTAGAATAACAATTAGGCACAAGTCAGGTCCTTTTTTTTTTTTTTTTTTTGTGATATTCTTGCTATTATTTAACTGGAATGAATACAAAGACCCAAATAATAAATACTTCCCCTTTGAGCCTTGCTTTATTCACAGCACCTTGTGTTTTGGCGGCATGCAAGAAACGGCAGCTAGAGTTTGGGAGGGAATAGAGTTAATATTCAGAATGGGGAGTCTGGAGAAGGACCAGTGATGCAGTCGGGTTTTCTGTTTTTATTCCTTTTTATACCACTCTAGCAGCAAACGAAGGTGGGAGCGGCAGCAAGCCCCGATCATGACGGATGCTGTGGAGATGCCAGCGAGGGCCCCACCTAGTCCTGCGGAGCAGCAGAAGCAAAAGGGAGGGACTGCAGATCTCTCCTAAGGGAGCCGCCAGGAACTGTTCACACCCAGGAAATCAGAGGTAAACAGAGGCGATCCCTGTGGGCAGGCCATGGCTGGAGGCCTCATGTCGTGGTGCCCTCACATGGGCGGATCTGCGCCCGTCCAGCTGCACACTCAGGCCCGGTCTGTGCCAGACCACGAGTCTTTGCCTTGTCCCTACATGTGTGGGGTCAGTGTGGCGCCTGTTGTTTTCATCTGGTAAATCACACAACTCGCTCTCTACTCCCACGGGCAGCTTTCAGAGGCAGAAAGACTCTGTGGCGAGCACAAGAACCCATCCAGGTGGCAAAGCCCTTCCCATAGCTCAGATGTTGGCCCGGGTTTGAAATGGAAGAGCCCAAGTGGGACTGATCATAAAAAGTAAGGGCATGGTGGCTACTAGGGTGGAAGGAATTGGCCTGGGTGGACTGGTGGCTTCCTCTGCAAGGAGGAAACTGTCTTAAATGTCCTGCTTGACGAGTCTGGAGCACATGCAATGCTGTAACCAACGGGTCTATGCCCTGCTGCCTCTACTCTGACCCTTGAAAACCTATATTCAGCATGGGACATCTATCAGGAAGAGTCAGAGCTGTTTCCAAAGTGACTGGGTAGTTGTTTTGGTAATGGCCTTGTGCTCTTTGCAGGAAAGGTGTTAAGTGTGTGTTTTATTTGAGAGGTCTGCAGAGGGTAGGATTTGGCTCACAGCCCTGGAGCTTTGTCTCCTGAAAGGAGGAGAGAAGCTGAGTTTCTGTCACTGACACTGAACTCTCCAGCTGGTGCCCAGCTGAGCTTCTTTAAGGTCACATGTGCACCCATTAGCAAATACCTACACATTAATGTTTTCCATGGTGTTCTTCCTATAGAGACACCCTTCCTCCTGGTTCATCCTAAACTGCTTCCCGAAGGCTGGTCTGCCTTACCCATAACTGAGGTGGAGCACTCAGGGCTAATGGGAGAACATTGCCACATCCCTGGGATGCATTTCAATGGCTTTGTGCAAAAAAATATGTCCCGCCTAGGCCATTTGTCCCCTGCTGGTGTGTGCAGCTCACCTTCAAGGAGAGCAGTTAGCAGGTGTGAACTGACCGCTGCTGAATAAGACAATTGTGCCTTCAAGCAGCTTATTAAATGTTTCCTTTCTTCCACCTGGGTTTATTGCCAGAAGTAGTTCACAGAATAAGAAAGTCTGCTAAATTCTGTTGATGCAGGGATATGTGAGCATATGGATTCGTGCAGATACTAACGGCCCTAATTCAGAGCTAGGTCTCAGTCTGTATTTTCTTGTGTGAGAAAAAAAGAGCTGTAAGATTTCCCTGCAAGTAGGAAAATTACTTGTTACCAAAGTGTGTTTGACGTTTAACTGAAACCATGATTTGGTGATACTATAAATCAAATTTTAGAATCCAAACGTGTGCTGACTTCATAGCATAAGACATTGTTATGGCATAAATCCCAATCTACTGGTTCAGATCTGCTCTTTTAAAACAAACAAACAAACAAAAAATCTGAACTATCAATTAGAATTATCAGGCAGCTCAAAACCATCATATATACTTAAATGTCAATATAAGCTCTACTGTGTAATCTAGCTAGCTTGAAAGAAGTGCAATTCTTTGTCTGTACCTAGTCCACATCAAATTTGCTATATAATCTGCTAAGCCACCGATAGTCATTGCTGGTCCCAAGCCATCAGTGAAAGGTGTCAAAACTTCAGCAGGACAAAATCAGTGTTGGAACAGATGATGATGTGAGAAAAAGAATGGAAGGATAGACAGTAAAACCTGTTTTTTTGACAGAAGAGGGCAGGCATTTTCTAAAGCAGTATGTTAATTATAATGTTTTAAGCGTATTAGATACTCATTTATTTTGTATCTAAATTAACAAGATAAGCCAATGTATCTCTGGAAATTGTTTCAATTTCTTCATTGAAAGTCTTGCATAACATACCTCAAAATGAAGAGAGTTATGCAGCAGTCTGAGAAATGGAAAAATTGGTTTAGTTTGATATAGTAAAAATACATTTCTGTTTGATTTATCAAAAACTACTTGAGAATGGATTTACATAAAAAAATTAGTCTGGAAAG